TTCAGCTCATCGACGAGCAGTACAACGTTCTCCTTCGAATTGAAGTAGGTTACCAGGGTCGACTCTTCACACGTCCTCTTTCCGAATTTCGAGGCCAAATCCTGACGTAGTAAACTGTCGCTCGGGAGCACCAGTGCATATGCAATAGTCCTGTATAGCCATTGGTCGGCTGGCTCGTTCTCCCGGCGCTTCACGGGGCTTTCCCCATTGAAGGACGTAAAGATGGGGAAGTAACCGGTCCTTGCCAGTTCCTCGCCAAGCTTTTGCAGGAAGGTGGTCTTCCCACCTCGCGCGCATCTTGCTGCACAGGTGGGTGGTACGCGGTTAGTGCCAGTCTCATCGCTCTCGTTGATGTACTGCTGGATCAAGGGCATGCAGTTTTGTATGCACTCTTCGATCCCTGCAAGTGTCTGTCCCTTCCGTACCGTTGCTGAGGGGACGCCCACCTCAGACAGCTGAGCGAGATCTTTCTCCTGCGGGAGCGTCTGACCGCCAAACACAAGGTTCCCCTACGCAACCCCCCCACCCCCCATCCTTGATGACCGATTGCACTGTGTTCGCCTGCAGGGCGCAGCCCCTTGCAAAGTTGAACTGACCAAGAACCTGCCCCCCGGCCTGGAATCCGCTCGCGGCCGCCGCCGGGGCAGCTAGGGCAGCGATGCGCTTGGCCAGTTGTGAGGCAGGGCCCGCAGCAATGTTGTAGGGCTGATTCACTAGCCGGTCATAGGTCAGGTCCAGGAGCGCGGTGCCCTTCACCTTCTGGTCCTTCAAAATCTTCGTTGTGGTTTGCACCTCATCGGCGTAGTTCCTCTCTTCCAAGGCTGTCTCGACCCAAGAACCGACCTGAAAAAAGAACGCAAAACGCACGCAGATCGCTTTGCAACATTGACGCGCGCGCCTGCTCCACGCTAAAATTCTCGATCTCCGAAGCTGTCTTGTGCAGCCAGTCCTGAATGGGCACAGCCAACTCCAGAAAGCCGGCAGCCGGCCTAGCCTTTGGCCTGCGAGAACCATGCCGGGCTACGAAGCTTAAACTAACAAGACGACGAACATCTCAAGCAGGCACCCTGCACTTCCACTCACAGACAGCCACGCTTCCTTTTCGTGTTTTACTTTCCTTCTTTTCTTCGACTCCTGCACAAGGGCAAGCTTCAGGCAACACAACAGGAAAAGATCTCCCAATGACGTGGCCCTCGCTTGCCGGAGGCTCCTCGGAAGACTCATCGGTTCCCATCCTTTCTCAAA